TTGAACACAGCCATCTGGGTTTGAGCCCCAGCACCAAAAGGGGTGACCCCTGAGGGGCTGGAGCGATAGCACAGCAGGTAGGGCATTTGCCTTGCATGCGGCTAACCGGGTTTGATTCCCAGCATCCCATATGGTCCCCTGAGCACCGCCAGGAGTAATTCCTGAGTGCAGAGCCAGGAGTAACCCCTGTGCATCGCCAGGTGTGACCCCCCCAAAAAAGAGGAGTGACCCCTGAGCAAAGAGCCAGGAGTAAGCGCCAGCACAGTTAGGTATGGCCCAAACCTTCTCCCCCACCAAAAACAAACCAACAGCCTTGCTCCAGCAAACCCCCACCTACCTGCCGTCCCTCACTGCTCACACCTGGGCCCCCCACTCCACAGCAGTGATATCAAGTGTATAATCTCCGAGGCGGCCAGGGAGGAGGCCTGCGCGGCTCTCCCTCTCACCGCTGGGTTCGGTGGGACTTGGGCCCCTCCCCCACACGGGGCGACCCGTGCCATGGGTAGACGGAGGAGGAAATGACAGTGAAGCTGGTTGATTGATCAGTTGTCGGTTATTCCATTCTCCCGATGTGCGTGTTCCAGTGTCTCTGAGGCCCCCCATTCTAGTCTCACAATGCCCCACTCCCATCTCCTGCAGTCTCTCCTGCTCATCTCTCCGTGTTTCGTCTCGCAGCCTGGGCTCTCTCTCTCTTCTTTTCCAACTCTCTCTTCTCTCCAACTCCCCAGCACTGGGGACAGACACTACACCCAGTCCCGTAGCAAAATCAACATAAGAAAGCCCTTCCTGGGGCTAGAGCGATAGCACAGCAGGTAGGGCGTTTGCCTTGCACGTGGCCAACCCGGGTTCGAATCCCAGCATCCCATATGGTCCCCTGAGCACCTCCAGGAAGCCAGGAGTAACCCCTGAGCATCGCCCGGTGTGACCCAAAAAGAAAAACAAAAACAAAAACAGAAAGAAAGCCCTTCCTGACTCGTCAGGCTCAAGGGCAGAAACACCACCTAAGGCTATTCTTCTACTCCTAACATCTTAATTAACATCTTAATATTAGTTATTTTTGTATGGACACAGTAAGAGATACTTTGTGGCTTGTAGGGCAGCTCTCCTGGGAACATCTTGCCACAGATTCAGACTAGAGTGCTCAGGTCAGATTAATCATTCCTAACCCTAGCAGGGTCTGAATCTAGTTATTACTTTTTTGGATCATGACTACATTTTCCATGCCAAACTCTTAACTTAGAGTTAAGCATTAGGCACTTTGGCCAGGCCCATCTCGATGCCAGGGTAGCACATAGCTCACCGCTTGCCCTGGGTCCGTCCAGTCCCTCATCGGGACCCTGCCTTTGGGGGTGCTAAGTAAGGGCAGCTGAGGCTTAGGTCGAGAGAACAGATGCCCAGGAAGAAAATATCACTTAGAGTCAATTGACTCCCATGTTACAAAAGCATAACATTTACTGTCTTTCTGTGCCCATACAAAAAGGACATTGCTCTTGATGTAGGCAGGTAGATAGGGAAAGGTCCTTTGCAATGAAACAAAGTTTCATGGAAGAAGAATTCTAGGAAGGACCCACCTTGTGGATACAGAAAACAAAGGCCTGATAAGACCATCCAAGATCATCTGCAGACCCTGAGGATATATGAAATTCCTCTTTTTGGAACTCCCCTTTAACCTGATTAACTTTAGTGATTCAGCCCAAAGACCACCAGCACCGCTCCCAACCTCCCTGGTAACCTCCTTAGCAACGGACTTTTACCTGGGAAGAAACTTCACGTGGGGACAGGCTGGAGAAACTCTATAAAGGCCACCTTGAACAAAGGAAAGGCGAACATATGCTGCCTGAGCCCATGTGCTGCTTGCGCCCACATGGCCGAGCACATGTGTCGCTGGCATTTGCCCTCTTGAGATGTGTACTTTCATGCTTTCGTGTTTAATGCTAGGATGTGTGTAGGGGCTCTCTCCGCCCTTGGAGAAGCCCGTGTTCTCTCTTGAGTACGTTACTCTCTCACTCTCTCCCTCCATAGCTAAAAATCCTCCAAATAAAATCTATTTATTTCACTGCTTGTCTACTCCTGAAATTCCTTTCTCGAGGCGAGACAAGAACCCAGTAACCCTGGGTCCCGGGTGGCAGAGGCGGGTGGGGAGAAAGTGACTCATCTTTCTCCTCCCCTCTTCACATAAGTCACCCGTGGGGCCCACCGACATCACTCTAAGTAAAGTATGCAAAGGACTTAAGGAGAAGAGAAAAACAATATTTACAAGTCAACAGAGAACAAACAAAGAAGTTACAAATAAACACAGAGGAATGGGAGCACTGTGATGGGAGTAACCCAATAAACCTAAGCTCCCTGTGGCAAGGCAGAAAAGACCAACCAATGTTATCCTACAATCAAGTACCTATTTCTTTTCTTTTTTCTGTTTTTGAGTCACACCCAGTGATACTCAGAGGTTACTCCTGACTCTGCACTCAAGGGACCACATGGGATGCCAAAGTTCCAACTTAGGTCAGCTGTATGCAAGGCCCTACGTCTCTGGCCCCAAGGACTGATTTCTAAGACTCAGCCAGCTCTGCTCTATCTCAGGAATTTCCCCCCAGACCCTCAGTCCCTCCAACCTGGACATCTTCCTTAGGTTCCAGAGTTTTCTGTGCAAGTCTCAGCTACTAAGTCACCGCCTTGGGGAGGTCTGTGAGACAGCTCATTCCTGTTTCCCAGTTATACTTTTTTGCTAGCTCCAGGTGGGAAAAACTAGGTGGTTTTAAAAAGATTCTTTTGGTAACAAAATCGGAGACTAACACGCAAGAATAGCCAAGATAAGTACCAGGAGGTATACTCCGTGGCTTGGAGGCCAGCCACACACGCTAGGGGGAAAGGCAGCTCAGATAGAGAAGGGAGCACCAAATAAAGGGCGTTGGGAGGATCCTCCCAGGATGGGAGATACATGCTGAAAGTAGACTATAGACCGAACATAATTGCCACTCAGTGCCTCTTCTGCAAACCACAATGCCCAAAAGGAGAGAGAGAACAAAAGGGAATGCCCTGCCACAGAGGCTGGGTGGGATGGGGAGGATGGGGGGTGGGAGGGATCCTGGGATCAATGGTGGTGGAGAATGGGCACTGGTGGAGGGATGGGTACTCGATCATTGTATAACTGAAACCCAAGCACAAAAATTTGTAAGTCTACAACTGTACCTCATGGTGTTTCACTAATAAAAATTTTTAAAAAAAGATTCTTTTGGGGGGCATACCCACTGGTACTCAGGGCTTACTCCTGCTTTTACTCAGGGATCACCCCTGGTGGAGCTCAGGGGAACTAAATGGGGTGCTTGGGATCAAGCCATGGTCAGCTGCGTGCAAGGCAAATGCCTTACCCACTGTACTCCAGCTCCAGCATTTTTAAAAAAAAATTAATCTTGTAAAGCAGTGTAACTGGCATTCTTTGCTTATAATGCGCATTCTGCTGTGTGATTGAGTAGCACTCTACACAAGTTGGTGAGGGGGGCTGGCCAGGGGTTTGGGCCACACCCATAGGTACTCAGGGTTTACTCCTGGCTCTGTACTCCTCCATCACTCCTGGCAGTGCTGGAGGAATCATATGTGGTGCCCGGTATGGAATCCTGGTTGGCTGCATGCAACGCGTGCACCTTACCCCGGACTATCCTTACCAGCATACTACCCTTTCGGTGTACTACCCTTATGGCTCACGTCTAGGATGTTTTTTTACTTGTGACATGCAAACACAATTCTGTCATTTTAAGACTTGCGTTTCTCAGGGGCTGGAGTGATAGCACAGCGGGTAGGGCGGTTGCCTTGCACGTGGCCAACCCGAGTTCCATTCCCAGCATCCCATATGGTCCCCGGAGCACAGTAATTCCTGAGTGCATGAGCCAGGAGTAACCCCTACGCATCAATGAGTGACAAAAAAAAAAAAAAAGACTTGCGTTTCTCTTTCATCTATCTCTGTCACTGACAAATGGTCCAAAAGTACAAAATCATGGACCCATGCAAGGAAAGGAATAACATGGCATCCGCACCATTCGCTTTTTGCACGCTGCTCAGGAGACAGCGGATTTTACCTGGTTGCTTTCTCGATTCCTGTACTAGTAAATATTTCAGCAAGCATCTTAGGGAGGGTCTGAATCGTCAGCATCCTGACCTCCCGACATGATGCCTGCTGGGGTGGAAATAGCACATTAGAGACCTCGGATACTGGAGTGAGGAGCAAAGTTTGCCCCCATTGTTGTCGCTGAGATCGTCTCATAAATAGGGTCATGTTTTTATTGTGGTCCACGGGTGTCCTTGCCTGTCCGATCTGTCTCTGTCGCCCGTGGCAACATGCCTGTGGCACCGAGGGGCGCCCAGTGGCTGTTTTTTTTCTTTTTGGGTCACACACAGCGATGCTCAGGGGATTATTCCATACTCTGCACTCAGGAATTACTCCTGGCAGTGCTTGGGGGACCATATGGGATGCCGGGGATCGAACCCAGGTCGGCCGCGTGCAAGGTAAACGACCTACCCGCTGTGCTATCGCTTAGGCCCCTGCCCAGTGGCTTTTACTGGACCGAGCCAACAGACACACACCCCAACCCCAGCCTCGCGCAGCGCCTTCAAACCCGCGGACCCGAGGGAGCCCCGAGCCCGGCGTCGGCGCGCGGGGGCCGCTGGGAAATGTAGTCCGCGCGGGCGGGGCGAGGCTCCGCTGGCGCGCAGGCGCACTTCCGGCTCGGCGCGGCCGCTGCGGCCATTGTCCGGCCCCGGTGCGCCTTAAATGGCCGCGCTGGGCTGTCCCCGCCGTGCATCCGCCCTGGAGCGGCCCGAGCCTGCAGCGGGGGCGCCCGGGCCCGGCGGGGCCGTCGGGAGGCGGTGACCCCCCCCGCCCCGCCCCCCCGAGCGCGCGAGTCGCCGCGGCACCGCCCCGGAGTTTGCGTGCGTGCGGGAGGCCGCGCCCACCGTCCTGCGGGTGGGACTGGGCGTGGCCAGAGCCGGGGTCGGGCCGCCGCTGCCCGTCCGGCCCGGGGTGGGGGCGGGGGGGGCGCGGCCGAGGGGGCGGGGCGCCCCCTCTCTCCCGGCAGCCCGGGGGCCCGGCCCGCAGCGCACAGGAATGGCCCCGAGGCCGCCGGCGGTCGCGCCCCAGGTGAGCCGCGTCCCCCCCCCCACCCCGGGCGGGTCGGGAGCACTCGTGGGGAGCACTCGTTGTTCCCCGCCCCGCGCCGGTCCTCCGGGCCCGGCCAGATCCCGGCTAGCGGAGCTGCCCGGTGGGGGCACGCGGGGCAGCCGCGGGGGCCCGGGCGATGGGGCCCGGGGGAGGAGCGAGAGGGCGGGAAGTGTCAAGAGCGGGCCGTGCGGTTCCTGGAATTCCGTCCCTGGGGAGGGGAAGGAAGCGGGAGGGCGCGGGACCGAGCGGGACCGAGCCCAGGCTGCGGAGGAGGAAGTGAGAGGGGACCCGGGGCCAGGCGAGGAAGCCTCCTGCCAGATGTCTGCCCCCGCCGCAGAGGCTCCCGCTCAGCTCAGTCGGCTCCGGGAGGACGGAGTACGTGTCCCGACGCCCACCGAGTGCTCGTCCTAGCGGCACCCCCTGGGAGTTAGGGAACTTTGCTGCGTGGCGGGCACAGACCAGAGAGCAAAACGCTTCAGGGCCCGTTGAAAGAACAAAATGCGCTCCTGGCAGTACCAGCCCCGAAGGAGGGTTTGGGAGAGACTCACTGAGTAAAGAACTGATCTCCCCGGGGGCTGGAGCGATGATAGCATAGCGGGTAGGGCGTTTGCCATGCTCACAGCCCGACCGGGGTTCGGTTCCCAGCATCCCATATGGTCCCCTGAGCACCGCCAGGAGTGACTCCTGAGTGCAAAGCCAGCATCACCGGGTGTGTCCAAAAAAGAAGAAAAAAAAAAAAGGAACTGCCCCGGAGAGGGAGTGAAAGGGAAAGAGATGAGGGGCAGAGAGCAGGACACGAGGCAGGGCCTTTCCGCGGCCAGGGTGGGTGAGAGGTTCTCTCACCTTGGTTCTCACCGAGGTGCACACATCAGCTGACCTGGAGGAGGCGGAGGGAGGGATGCAGAATCTTTGGGCAAGGAGACCCGGCGTAGAGCACAAGCCTTGCACTTGGGGTCCTGGGTTTGGTTCCCCAGCACCACACACCATGATCTGTGCCCAGTCCCCCCTAGGGATGACCCTCCACCCGAGATGAAACCCCTCCAACAATAGTAAGAATTTTTTTTTCCTGGATAGGTAAAATAGATTTCGGTAAAAAATAATAGGACCAAAGAAATAGTGGAGCAGAAGGCATAGTGCCAGGACTCCGTCCCCTGAGCACCGCTGGCTGTGACCCCAAAGAAACAAAGCAAAACAAACACACGAAAAGATTACTTTTTTTTCTTTTAAGGAATACATGTGGGTGTTTTTGTTTGTTTTTAATCTTGGTGACCTTAGAACATACAGGAAAAAGAAAGATTGAGAGATGAGGCCCCTTCCCAGGCTGGGATCAGGCAAAGGGTAGGTGAGAAACAGCCGCCAGCAAGAGTTTTCTTCCCCTGTGCTCGCCCTGAGTCCTGAGCTGTTCGCCCACCCAGCTGATCCAGCTATTACTGATCTGCTGTCCTAGAGCTGCAAGTAGGGAGAAAAAGGCCGTAATGGAGCCAGTTACGTTCAGAGTGTTCTGATCGGGCAATTAACTCTGCTCTGGACTCATTAGATGCTGTTGTCTGGTCTTCAGCTTTGCAAGTTTTCTTAGTGACAGAGTTTCCTGAGTCCACCCTGAGAGGATTTCTCCTCCAGAGTTGGTGTATGTGAGCTGGAGGAAATCTCTTTGTATTGGCCACTAGGTTCTTGAACAAGTGTCCTTTCTTGGAAAAGGACATCTTGGAAGTGTGCCTTTCACCCTTGTCTTAAAACTCACTTCTGGCCAGAGAGATAGTATAGCGGGTAGTGCATGCATACGGCCAACCCAGATTCAATCCCCAGTACCCCATGTGGTCCCCAGAACCCCACCAGGAGTGAACCCCGAGTGCAAAGGTAGGAGTAAGCCCTGAGGCACCACTGGTTGTGGCCTCCCCAAAATAACAACAATGGAAACTCAAGTCTTCAGGTGATTGTGTGTTAGAGGTGGGAGAAGGGGACCCCTGGGAGGTTTGTGACTGGTCCGGGATATGCCGTTATCACAGGAGCTGAGATTGACCTTCTCGGTTTAGTGTTTGCTGTTTCTGGTTGCTTACTCTGGGCTGCACTGCTTGGTCACTGTCCTTTATTATTATTATTTTTTTTTTGCTTTTTGGGTCACACCTGACGATGCACAGGGGTTACTCCTGGCTCTGCACTCAGGAGTTACTCCTGGCGGTGCTCAAGGGACCATATGGGATGCTGGGAATCGAACCCGGGTTGGCTGCGTGCAAGGCTAACGCCCTACCCGCTGTGCTATCTCTCCAGCCCCAGTCACTGTCCTTTTTATGGCAGTATGAGGAAGGGGAATATTTATTTCTGGCTTTTTTGAGTCATACCTGGTGGTGGTCAGACTCTGTGCTCAGGGAAACGTCCTGGCAGTGCTCAGATGCACTGCCAGGAATCGAACCCCGCTCAGCTCTGTGCAAGGCAGACACACTCCCCACTGTTCTGTCTCTCCGGTCCCAGCTTTTGGTCAGTCCTTAAAGAGGAGGAGAGGTCTAGTTCCGTCTGGAAGAAGGCGAGCAGTGTGAGATGTTGTGGATCCTTCGATCACCGTCCACAGTGTGACCCAGAGTTGCTTAGACGCGACACAGCCGGCAGTGATGGCGCGAGCCCAGGACTTCTGCGTGTAACCTGTGCTCCATCCCCTGGGGGCACCCCCCGCCCCGGCAATCCTTCAGTCCTGTGAGCCCCCAGGATCCCTGGCTGCCCTTCCTGTGCCAGACTCATTCTGTCTCTGGTCATGGGAAGGCGCCTAACACAAGGTTGTTGTTGACGTTACAGGTACACAGTGAGCAAGTGCAGTGACATGTGTCCCAGGTTGAATGAGCCCTGGGAGGGCGGCTCAGGGGATGTGGGAGCACTCAGAGCTGCGACGGCCTGGCCAGACCTTGGGAGAGAATAGCGGGGAGCCCCCATGGCAGCTGCTTTGGCAGGAGAGGTTCCGGCGGCTCAGGGGGCTGCCACACTTCCTGGCTCGGGGCCGAAGCCAGAGCAGGACCGAGGAGGTCGGTGCGGGCAAGGTTGGGAAGGGCACCAAAGCACACATGAAGCCATCTCCTTTTTATTTATTTTTGGGGGAACACACCCAACGGTGCTCAGGGCGCCCTCCTGACTCTGCACTCAGGGTTCACTCCTGGTGGACTCGGGGGACCATATGGGGTGGTGGGGATTGAACCCGTTTGGTGACTTGCAAGGCGAGTGCCCTCGCTGCCCTGCTGTACTATCACTTGGACCCCAAGAAATTTTCTTAGTTTTTTTTCTTTTTTTTTTTTTTTGCTTTTTGGGTCACACCTGGCAATGCATAAGTGTTACTCCTGGCTCTGTACTCAGAAATTACTCCTGGCGGTGCTCAGGGGACCACATGGGATACTGGGAATTGAATCCGAGTTGACCATGTGCAAGACAAATGCCCGACACACTGTGCTATCGCTCCAGCCCCTCCTTAGTTTTTTAAACGTGAAAGAATTGATGAAATGTTTATAGGCCACCTACTCTTAAGTCTGCCCGGCCTGATTTAGCCAGTAGACTTGCTCTAAAGAAAACACACAGGACCAGAGAAAACGTACAACAGTTATAGCACTTGCCTTATAAGTGGCCTGCCCTGGGTTTGATCCCTGATACCTTGTACGGTCCCTCACACACCACCAGAAGTGACCCTGGAGTGCAGAGTGCTGAGTCTTAGGAGACCATATGGGATGCCAGGAATCGGCCCCAGGTTGGCTGCGTGCACGGCTAGCGCCCTGCCTGCTGTACTAGCTCTCCAGCACCCCCTCCCCAATAATGCTTTGTGTGAGCCCCTCCCTGTAGTACTGGAAGGCTCCAAAGTGTGTCAAGTCGTATCATGGGACACCTGTGTTGGGAATCGTGCTGGACCATTTGGGAAAGAGCCCTGGTCCCACGTGTTGGTACTTCCCCTTCTCTTTCCTCTGTCCACGTTCTTACTGGGATCACCAGGGGCCTTATACACATACACGTGAATGATGCACTTGTGCCGAGATGCAGGTTTGCAGGGGGGAAGGGAGGTGATCACACCCCCCCTCCCCACTTACAGTGCTGACCCTGCCCTCCTGTGGTGCTCATAGGGGCGTCACCCGCCTTTGCGTGCATTCTGACTGTGTTATCTTCACCGTAAGTTACTGTGGGTCTGTCATCGGAACCCCAGCGCCGTCGGGGCTGCACTCAGAACCTGGGCAGCAGCGGGCACTGAGGTCAGGGCCTTCTCCCTGCAGAAGTCCGTGACGTTCAACGATGTGGCCGTGGACTTTACCCAGGAGGAGTGGGACCACGTGGCCCCCGAGCAGAGGCGCCTGTACAGGGAAGTCATGCTGGAGAACTACAGCCACCTGGTTGCGCTTGGTAAGGACACGCCACGGCAAGGCTCGTGGCCGGGGCTCCTTCCTCTGCTGCTGGGGTCGTTGGAGGGGGCTGGGGTCAGAGCTCATTGTCTGTGGGACCCTTTAGGAAGGAGGCCTTCTGCAGACGGGCCGCTTGATTGCCTGCCTCCTTAGGTTGCCCCCTTTCTTCCCGTCAGCCTTCCCCAAGGGTCTAGAGCGCGTAGTGACTTGTCGGGAAGGTTCTTTGTCCTCTTAACAACCACATCTGGTGTGTTTGTCCCTGAGCAGGATACCAAGTTTCCAAGCCAGCCATCATCTACAGATTGGAGCAAGGAGAAGCGCCGTGGATGCCTGAGAAGGAAATCCAAAGATCTTTCTGTCCAGGTAAATATCTGAGTGAGCATCAGCCTCGGCGGGTTAGTGCAGGCAGCGGCCCACCAGAAGGGGGCGCTCGAGGGCGGCTGCCGAAATGCCTTCGGGTCTCCCTGGTGTAGCAGGATGCTCTTCCTGTTGGGGGATGGGGGGGAAGTCTCCTTTCTGAGATAGCCCCCCCCTTCCCTCACTTGGGTGCTGACTCTCCCTCTCAGGAACCCTCCCTCCACTTTGCTTTCTCTCTGTCCACCTTCCTTGGAGCAGGCGCCCTTTGTCTTTTGACTCGTCTGCTCATATCGCCTCTCTCTGGGCCGCCTCCTCTCACCCAGCCTGGAGCAAGTACCCACGGCCGAGTCTCCCTCCCCTCATCACTCGGGCTTTCCGGCTCTCTCCCCCCCACCCTCCTGCGTCCATCCTGGCCACGGCCCCTGTGATTTTCTGCCTCCTGACCGTCCCCTTCCCCTGGTCTCTGGTGTACCTCGCTGATAGCTGCTAGACTTTAAGATAAGACTTTGGCTTCTGCCCCTAAGGGAATCTGCCTGCCCTTCCCCGTAATGGGGCAGGTCTTTGTCCTTCTCTGGAGACTCAGAAATTGTCCTTTCTTCCACTCCGGTCACTCTTTCGCTTCTCACAGGCGCTCCATTCCCTACTCGACCCAGCCCTGACAGCCTGCTTTCATCTTGCTTGGGATACCTCACCTCTAAGTGAAATCACATCATTGACTTTTGTAGCCCACTTCTTTCACTCAGCATATTTTCAAGATTCATTCATGTTGTAGCATATATTGCTACTTAATTCTCTTTTATTGCTCATTAACATTGCATTTCATGGATATATTGTTCATCACTAGATGGGTCATAATGGAATTTTTTTTTCTTTTTTGCGGGGGAGGTGCACACCAGTAGTGCTCAGGGCTTATTGCTGGCTCTGCACTCACGGATCATTCCTAGCAGTGTTTGGGCGACGATATAGGCTGCCAGGATATAACCCAGGCCAGCCTCATGCAGGGCAAGTGCTTTACCTGCTGTGCCATCTCTCCAGCCCTCCAGAAGGGATTTTAGCGCTTTAGCTCATAAACCACCACAAACCTTTCTTGGTGTATTCACCAAGCGACTAAGGAATCCCAGGGCTCTCTCCCGCCTCCTGCATTCGGTGGTCTCGCATCATTTCCCCAGCCTGGAATCCGATGCCTTGGATGGACAAAAGAGGAAATGAGGGCCAGGATGGTTGGTGATCAGTTGCTATTTATTCCATCCTCCCCGCGCGCCTGTCCCAGTCTCACACTGCCCTTCATGCCTGGCTCCTCCAATCCCCCATGTTGTCTCCTTGCTCCCACTTGCTGCCCTTCGTCTCCTCTAGTCTCTCCCCAACTCCCAGCATTGTAGGTAGCACAATCCACATACCAAAGCCCTTCCTGATCGATGATCCTCCAATGATCCCTCTCAAGGGTAGAAATACCACCTAGGGTTTTTTTTTCCTTTCCTTAGTCCAAAACGTAGTTAATATCTTAATTCTACTACTTTTTTTCTTTTTTTTTTTCCTTTTTGGGTCACAATGGGCAATGCACAGGGGTTACTCTGGCGGTGCTCAGGGGACCATATGGGATGCTGGGAATCAAACCCAGGGCAGCCATGTGCAAGGCAAACGCCCTCCCCACTGTGTTATTGCTCCAGCCCCTTAATTCTACTTCTTAATATTAGTTATTTTGTATGGACACAGAGATTCATTAAGCTTGTAGGGTAATTCTCCTGGGGACATCTCGCTATAGATCTCAGACTACAGTGCTCAGGCCAGATTAATCTTTCCTAGCCCTAGCAGGGTCCTAATCCAGTTGTTGCTTTTTGGATCAGGACAAAATTTGGATCCATGACCATGCTCTTAACTTATAGTTAAGTATTACGGCATTTTGGCCAGGCCCATTTTGATGCCAGGGTAGCCCACAGCTTGCCCTGGGTCCATCCAGTCCCTAGTCAGGACCCTGTTTTGGGGATGCTAGGAAGTAAGGGCAACTGAGGCTTAAGTCAAGAGAACAGATGCCCAGGAGTGAATGTCATTCAGAGCCAGTTAATTCCCAAGTTACAAGAGCATAGCATTAAGTCTTTTGGTGTCTATACAAAAAGGACATTTACTTTGAATTAACTATTAATTAATAAAGGACTTAAGGGAAGAGAAAAGCAAGATTTACAAGTTAACAGAGTCTGACTAGGAAATAAAGGTTGGGGAAGCTGAGCACAAAGAAAGAGGTTACAAATAAACACAGGAATGGGAGCACTGTCATGGGTGCTCCTAAACTCCCTGTGGCAAGGCAGAAAGGCAGACCAGTGTTAGCCTATATTTTCGTTTTTCCCTTTTCCCAGGATGGGAAACAAACATTGTCCTTTCTACCACCCCTGATTTAAATGTCCTTCCTTTATTGTTTAATCTAATACTAGACTAAATAGATTAGAATGATTTGATGTTAGAAATTCTAATGTCATTCCAGTATTATTTTTTTGTTCCTGAGGTTGAATTTCTTTTCAGTGTTTTCTGTAAGTCGCTTACCTGTTCCCTCATCAGATAATGCGTGTCCAGAGCCATCTGTTCTGTAGATTCAAGGTCTTTCTAAGTCAAGAAGCCCAATTTAAACGGTTGCATTTATTTCTTCCTTCCCTGGCCACACATGACTATCATCTCTACTACACAAACTCAGATATAACGTGATCTGATGGGAGGGAGGGGGCGTTTGCTGTGTGTGTGCGTTAGCTGAAAAATGCTTGCATTATATCTGTCTGTGGGCTTGCAGGCCCCTGGACACAAGCCTGTGAGGGTTCCTGAGCCACGTGTTGAGCCTGTGTTGGGAGCATGGAGGGACGGTCAGAAGCTGATCGGGTCTGCTGGGAGGAACTCGTTAACTCATTCACTTCACTAAACGCTTCTTGACTGTCCCTCCGAGTTTTCGAAAAGGTGGAAGTATTCTCTGTTTCGAAGTGAGTCTTGGTCCAGAGTAAGGAATTTGGAGGTTTAAGCCCCTTCTTTCTGTTTTTTCCTCCTAACATTTTACTATGAAAAGTCTCACACACTTGAAACAAATGACACATCGAGCATCACCTCCTCACCATCAGATTCTCTCATTATTGACATTGATTTATTTGGAGTTGGAGCCAGTCTTGGCTGTGCTCAGGGCTTACTCCTGGCTCTGCACTCAGGGGTCTCTCCTGGCGGCGCTCAGGAGACTACATGTGATGCCGGGGATCAAAGCTGGTAGATTTGGTTCACCAAGTACAAGCCAAGCTCACTACCCACCATACTATCTATCTAGCTCCTGTCTTTAGCATTTTTGGGGGTGGGGGGTGGGTGACCACACCCGGCTGTGCTCAGGGTTTACTCCTGGCTCTGAGCTCGGGGATCAGGGACCATATGGGATGCCAGGGATTGAAAACAGGCCAGTCACGTTGCAAGGCAAGCAGTACCTCAGGTGCTGCACTATGGCTCTGGTCCCAGTAAACTGTCCTTTTGTTCTGCGTATGTCCTTTTCCTCTGGGTGGCCACACAGTAGTGCTTAGGGACTGCTCCCAGCTCTGTGCTGCGGGGAGGTGTTGAGGGGACTTCTTAATTTCTTTTTATTCGTTGTTTATATCATTTTGTAACTAACCACTTTGCTGTTTTCATTGTTTCCAATAGCTTTTTAATGGAGTCTCTTAGGGTTTTCTAGGTATTATATCAACAATTGTAATAGTTCTCACATTTATTCCAAGATCTTTTTTTTTTTTTTTTTTGGCTCACACCCGTCAATGCACAGGGCTTACTTCTGACTGCACTCAGGAGTTACTCCTGGCGGTGCTCAGGGGACCATATGGGATGCTGGGAATTGAACCCAGGTCGGCCATGTGCAAGGCAAACGCCCTACCCGCTGTTGCAAACGCTCCAGCTCCTCAATTTCTTTTATTCTTGTTATCTAATTGCTCTTGCATGGGCCAGAAAGATACTATAGCAGGGAAGGAGCTTGCCTTGCAGTCTACCCAGATTCTATTCCAGATATTACATATGTCCCCCTGAGCTCTGCCAGCAGTGATCCCTAAGTACTGCCAGGGGTGGCCCAAAATTTAGGGTTTTTCTCTCTTTTTTTTTTCTTTTTGGGTCACAGCCAGCAATGCTCAGGAATTACTCCTGGTGATGCTTGGGGGACCATATGGATGCTGGGAATCGAATGCTGGTCGGCTGCATGCAAGGCAGATGCCCTACCCACTATACTATCGCTTCAGCCCTGTGGCCCAAAATTTAAAGAAAAAAGCAAAAAAACAAAAGGGGCTGAAGAGATAGTAAAGTGGGTAAGGCACTTGCCTTGCAAGCAGCCAGCCAAGGTTTAATCCCTGGCATCTCCTATGATCTCTGAGTTCCACCAGGAGTAATTCCTGAGTGCAGAGCTGGGTGAGGCCCAAAAGTATTTTTTTAATTTAATCAAAGTAATAATTGTTCTTTCTAAAACCTTTAATATAAGTTTTAATACATGTTATAGTGAACAGTCTTCTCTTGTTCCTGATTTTAAAGAAAAAGTTTTGACTTTTCTCAACTAGTATAATATTCATTGTGTTTATAGTGTTTGACCTTCTATCGTGTTAAGATATGTTCCTTCTGGGGGCTGGAGCGATAGCACATCGGGTAGGGTGTTTGCCTTGCACGCGGCCGACATGGCCAACCCAAGTTCGATTCCTTCACCTCTCCCGGAGAGCCCGGCAAGCTACCGAGAGTATCTTGCCCGCACAGCAAAGCCTGGCAAGCTACCCGTGATGTATTCAATATGCTAGACACAGTAACAACAAGTCTCACAATGTTACTGGGCCCGCTCAAGCAAATCCATGAACAATGGGAGGACAGTGCTACAACTCTTGAGAGAAATTACTCTAACTTTCTTGTCTTGTGATGTCCCTGTCTGATCTTGACACAAGAATAATGTTGACTTTATAAAAATGTTGGCCTTGTACAATGTATGTGGGGTACGTTTGATTCTTCATATAGCAGCTCAGGGGCCATAGAGATCGTATAGTTATAGGGTGCTTCCCTTGCACGCGGCCAACTAGGGTTCGAGTCCCAGTATCCCATATGGTTTCCTGAGCAAGTACTTCCAGGAGTGATCCCTGAGTTCAGAGACAGGAGTAATACCTGAGTACTTTGTGGTATGCCCCAAAAACCAGGAAGAAAAAAAAAAGAAACCAGTTCATATCAAAAATTGTACTCTCTTATATACCACCCTAATGGTTTTGACAAAGGTTTATCCGTCCAATCCAAACCTCTGTTGATATAGAATATTTTCATCACCCTCCAGAAAATTCCTTAACATTTTTTTTTTAGTGAAACAAATAGATTTTATTTGGAGGATTTTTAGGTATGGAGGGAGAGAGAGTGAGAGAATAACGTACTCAAGAGGGAACACGGGCTTCTCCAAGGGCGGAGAGAGCCCCTACACACATCCTAGCATTAGACACGAAAGCATGAAAGTACACATCTCAAGAGGGGAGATGCGGGTGACACATGTGCTCGGGCACCACATATGCTCGGCCACGTGGGTGCAAGCACACATGGGCTCGGGCAGCATATGCGCCTTAACATGTTTTTAAAGGTTGCAATTCTTTTAACCTAGAAATTAATTCTCTGCAATTCTGGTTAGACGGGTGTTGAAAGATCAATTTAATAGCAGGTTGAATCCCTTTTGGTCCCATTAGGGGTGATTAGTGTGACCCAATAGACTCAAAATAGACTTAAGTCTATTTATGCTCAAATAGACTTAAAACCCACTCCCAGTTGTAAGGGCAAGCATGATATGCCTCCTGAAATACTACTTTTTCTCAGCTTCTGAAGGATCATCCTGCATCTTCAAGCTCATTAGAGAACTGCTTTAGGGGCTGGAGCGATAGCACAGCAGGTAGGGCATTTGCCTTGCACGTGACCAACCTGGGTTCAATTCCCAGCATCCCATATGGTCCCTTGGGCACTGCCAGGAGTAATTCCTGAGTGCATGAACCAGGAGTAATCCCTGTGCATCGCAGGGTATGAACCAAAAACCCAAAAAAAAAAAATTGCTTTAGTTAAATTGTTGGTTGCGGAATTTGCTCTCTAGGATTTAGAACTTTGGAGCCTCAGACATGTCTTTTAAGAAATACAAATGAATTCTACTCAGAAATCTGGTGGCTTGTGAGTCACAGGAAACCGGAGAGCAGGCAAGATTCCATGTGGCACTCCGGTCCTGCTCCATTCGTATTTCCACCCCATACCTCATCCTTGCTCCCAGCCCTCCTACCTGGGCTTCCTCCTCCTGCACTTCACCAAAGCCTGTGGATCCTCACTCTGCACTACCCTGGCTCTTCACTTCCTTTCCTTCACTTTCGATCTTTTCTTCAAGCTCTACCACCAGTTCAAAGCAGAATCCTGTATAGTTTTTGTCTTTATCATTCCTTCCTTCAGCTCTAGCAATTTGTTTCAATAAGAGTGAATAGCGGAGTTTTGTACTTTGGATTTCTTTCAGACCGGAAGGCCAGACCCGAAGCCAAATCCTCAGATCAGCAGCAGAGCATATTTGGGATATCCTGTAGTGCAGGCGAGCCGGTGGAGAGAAATGCTTGGACCGTTCCTAGCCAGTTAGAGAGGCGCCCGGAAAGCTGGAACTGGTGTCTGGGGCCAGTTGCATCCACCCGGAAGATCATCACTCCAGAGGGAAATCTGGAACACGGTGAAAACGGTGAAAACTCGACATCGAACACCCCTTCCGAGTCTGCTGAGCGTGGAACACTTGGCAACAGCCTGGCCCATCACTCAGACCCGCCCAACCCGGATAACAGCCTTGCCAAGAAGAAACCTTACAAGTGTAACAAGTGCAGGAAAGCCTTCATTCACCGGTCCTCGCTCACCAAGCACGAGAAGACTCACAAGGGAGAGGAAGCCCTCTCCCACGGGGCGGACCAGGGGCTTTATCCCGGCAAGAAGCACCACGAGTGCACGGACTGCGGGAAGACCTTCCTGTGGAAGACCCAGCTCACCGAGCACCAGCGGATCCACACCGGGGAGAAGCCCTTCGAGTGCGCCGTGTGCGGGAAGGCCTTCCGCCACAGCTCGTCGCTGGGCCAGCACGAGAACGCGCACACGGGCGAGAAGCCGTACCGCTGCAGCCTGTGCGGGAAGGCGTTCCAGCGCAGCTCGTCGCTGGTGCAGCACCAGCGCATCCACACGGGCGAGAAGCCCTACCGCTGCAACCTGTGCGGCAGGTCCTTCCGGCACGGCACGTCGCTCACGCAGCACGAGGTCACGCACAGCGGCGAGAAGCCCTTCGAGTGCAAGGAGTGCGGCAAGGCCTTCAGCCGCTGCTCCTCGCTCGTGCAGCACGAGCGCACGCACACCGGGGAGAAGCCGTTCGAGTGCAGCATCTGCGGCCGGGCCTTCGGCCAGAGCCCGTCGCTCTACAAGCACATGCGGATCCACAAGCGAGGCAAGCCGTACCAGAGCCTGGGCTTCGGCCTGGACCTGAGGCACGACCCGTCCCCGGTGCAAGACGGAGGCCCCGGCACCGACTGCACCAAAGCCAGCGGCGACCGCGGGGACGACGCCAGCCCCGCCACCGACGCGCCCGCCCCCCCGAACGGCCTGCCCGGGCCGGGCCCTCCGGACGGCGAGCCCCCCGCGTGCAGCCAGCCCCCCGCGGCCCACCCTGGGGAGAAGCCGTACCAGTGCAACGTGTGCGGCAAAGCTTTCAAACGCAGCACGAGCTTCATCGAGCACCACCGCATCCACACCGGGGAGAAGCCCTACGAGTGCAACGAGTGCGGGGAGGCCTTCAGCCGGCGCTCGTCGCTCACGCAGCACGAGCGGACGCACACGGGCGAGAAGCCCTACGAGTGCATCGACTGCGGCAAGGCCTTCAGCCAGAGCTCGTCCCTCATCCAGCACGAGCGGACGCACACCGGCGAGAAGCCCTACGAGTGCGGCCAGTGCGGCCGCGCCTTCCGCAAGAAGACCAACCTGCACGACCACCAGCGCATCCACACCGGCGAGAAGCCCTACGCCTGCAAGGAGTGCGGGAAGAACTTCAGCCGCAGCTCGGCCCTGACGAAGCACCAGAGAATTCATGCCCGGAACAAACCCTAGGGACCTGGAAGTGAGCGAGCGTCTTCTGAGCGGAGCGAGCGCTTAAGGTGCATGTGAGTGTGTGTGTGTGTGTGTGTGTGTGTGTTGTATGAGGAGGGATCTCTGCTGGTTGAGGCAGTGTGGGCTTTTAAAAGTGAATGCCACATTCGCCAATCTGATTATAGACTTTTATAAAGATTATTAAAGAATTACAGACGTTGTGTATAACCAGCTGGAAATGGTATGCCTATATATTAAACTTTATAAATCTTCTAAGTTGTGTGTGTGTGTGTGTGTGTGTGTAGGAAATCACCTACTCTGAAAAGTTGGACGTGTGACTCTGTTTACAGCCTTTTTTTCAAAACAAAACCTACAGTAATGACCAAATCTCATTTTGAAAGTTGCTTGACAATTGCATTCACCTGCAACTCTTAGATCAAACTGACCTTGGAACCATCTCCACCTCCTGGAATTCACTCAAGGAATGAGAGCAGCTGGTCCCACCACTTCATTGTACAGATGAAGAAACTCAAAGCCAAAGATGTGAAGTGGTTTGCACCGAGCGATGCAGCTTCGAATGACAAAACTGGGGGACAGTGCAGGTTCCTGTACTCTCGGCTTTGTGATGCTCTTAAATAAATTATATAAACTAAACTATGTGCAGGCACTTAATGAATGCTGCTGAGAACTTTGGGGAGTTTGTGAAAACATCAGAGGCAGCAAAGCGTATGCAAATTTCTCACAAATTCATTTCAAACAACTGTGTCGGAAACTCATAAACCAAAATGTTCACAGAAACTATAAATGACTGAACTGGTAAGGTTTTTTACTCTTACTAAGCAGTCTGATTATACTTTGAGTTGACATATACCAATTCCCTTAGAAATACTAAATCCTCTCTTTGTGCTTTTTTATGATACTCCCAGGAAAAAGCACTGACCCAATCTTCTTGTATTTTATCAATGGGAAAATAGCACAAGACTAAGAGGGGAAAAAATCCTGAAATTAATTTTACTGCAAAGAGTTTTAAATTGAATCACTGCCAATAAATTAGTATTGAGACCCAGCATGCAGAGGCTCATTCTCTGTACCGAGAAAACACTTCCCTGTGAAAGATTAATATAAGGTTTATGTTCTTTTCCATCAGTAAAAACTGTTAAACCCAAGTATTCTACTCCAACCCATAATGCCCCCAAATACCTCTGATGAGTGTTACCAAAAAAATTTCCGGAATTGGGGCTGGAGCAATAGCACAGCAGGTAGGGCGTTTGCCTTGCACGCGGCCAACCCGGGTTCGATTCCCAGCATCCCGTATGGTCCCCTGAGCACCACCAGGGGTAACTCCTGAGTGCAGAGCCAGGAGTAACCCCTGTGCATCCCCAGATGTGACCCAAAAAACAAACAAAAAATTCCGGAATCTTTGTTGGTTCTATTGACCCCTACAATGCAGGTAAGTTTGAAATCAACTCCGGCTATTGACCTTTCTCATCTCTCCAGTAGGCTCCCCAAATGTCACAATATTGTGGTAAAATATGCTGTGCTGAAGAATCTTGGGAAGTGGAGAGGGGTAATGCCGATGGTGAGGCTTCCTGCAGACTTCTTGGCTTACCAGATAGCAGAATGCATCGTCCCTGTCTCATTCGAGACAACAAAGCAACTCGCAGGCTGACTTTCCTGGTTTTTTGGTGGAATTGTGCGTGGGAGCTGAAACAGGAGGCCGAGCTCATTAATTACCCAATTCGAAACACTTAGTTTCCATGCTCCCTGCTCAGAACACACACAATGCAAAGTCCGGGCTTGTGTTGTCTGATTCCTGGTTGGCCAATGGGTTGTTCTACTCAGACCCGCCCTCCTAGAATGCCCATGAGGAATCCATTTTGCTGTTGATTATTTGGGGTTCTCCTTAGTGTCCCAGGCAAGAAAGTCCTGAATTGTAACAGTGCCACCCGTGACATGGAAGTGTTTATACTCAGTTTGAACTTGACTCAGTTTGAACTTGACACATCCAGCCAGTTTCTGAATCTCAGCACATCTTCACCCACAGGGAAAGAGCCCAAGATGTGTTTGAGCAATTGGTAGAGCCGAAAATGCTGTTGGCCCTCCAGGCACACGCCATGCACTCAGGAACACCCAGCTCTCTGCACAGTGTAAAAGACGTCCTTGTTGTAACACTATCTTATGATTTCAATAAAGAGCCTTAGTGAAGAGGAGTGAGTCTCTTCAATCTTGAGAATGTGACAGAGATCCAGAAATGGTGCATCCAGCAAGAGGAGCTGAAGGCTGGGTGCTCTGCGGAGCTGGCTAAGTTCCGAGTAGCTGTTTCGCATCTGTCGTTGTGTTTAATCCTCACAGCTCCCCCATTCTGGCTCTGCCCTTTCCAGCTCTTTCCCCCTTCTCCCCCTCACGACAACAGTCCCTGCTGTGCTGGCCACAGGAGCATTGGGACTCAGCGACAGTTCTGGCGGCAGGCACGTGCCCTGGTTGAACTAGCCAAGGCCCTTTGCCAGAACCTCCGCACAGAAGACTTGGCAGGGAGATAACTTTGGGGTCGCGAGGCTGAAAAGGGAAGAAAGGCCTCTGGATGACGGGGAGGTCTCCCAGTGGAGGAGAGAAGGAAGCTGCATGATAGTGTTCTTATTTCCCTTTTTGTTTTGTTTGGGGCTACACCTAGCAGTGCTTAGCACTTATTTCTGGCCCTGCATTACGGGATCTCTTCTGGTGGGGCTTGGACCATATGGGGTGCTGGAGATTGAACTCAGGTCAGCTGTGTGCAAATCAAGCTCCCTACCCGCTGTGCTGTCTCTTGTTCGTTTCTAAGTCTTGAGGGACCCTGGCTTTGGGCCTCAGTGGGCTCCCCACTGTCTAATGATTTGCCGTATTGCATCAAGCTAGATTAGGTTTCAGTTGCTTGTACTGAAGAAAATACAGACCTGAGAGTTGACACAGCAGTTTTGCCTGCGGGAGGCCCAGGTTCAATCCCAGCATTGTCCCCCGGGCACCATCAACCCTTAAACACTGCTAGGTGTCACCCAAAATTAAACCAAGAAAAAGAAAACGAATCCTGACTCATTTGGCCACGCGGTAGGCCAGTGCCCTACCCCCTGAACTATCTCTCCAGTTCAGAGGTCATGAAATGTTTACCCTATATTCAATTCTCCAAATTCACTCCAAGCCTTTGTACCTCAAATAAATCATTTCCTTTCTTCCATAGTTTGAAGAAAATCTTGTTTCTTTAAAAATCTACATCATGACAGGGTTGGATAGTACAACAGATAAGGTGCTTGCCTTGCACATGGGTGACCCTGGTTTGATCCCTGGCCCCCCATAATGGTCCCCCAAATATCACCAGGAGTCATTCATCAGTGCAGAGCCAGGGGTTAAGCCATGAGCACTGCTGCATGTGGCAGAAATATATTTTACATATTGCTACACAGTCACAATCTCCTAACAAGACCCTACTCTTGTGATGACGTTTAAATTGTTGATGGTATTAGTTCTTATAGTTCCATTGAAAACTTATCTTTTGAAGTGCTCTCCTTTTTATTTCTAGAGAGTCTGTTCTTAAAAGAGCCAGAACGGGGGCTGGAGACATAGTACAGCAGGTAAAGAGCTTACCTTGTGTGCGACCATCCCAGATTCAATCCCCGGCACTGCATATGGTCCCCTGAGTACCAATGGGTATGGCTCCCCCCCACCGCAATAAATCCAAAATGAGATTGGAGAGCCCGGCAAACTACCGAGAGTATCTCGCCCACATGGCAAAGCCTGGCAAGCTCCCCGTGACGTATTCGATATGCCAAGCACAGTAACAACAAGTCTCACGATGGAGACGTTACTGGGCCCGCTCGAGCAAATCGATGAACAACGGGAGGACCGTGACCATGACCGAGAGTATTCATGAAGCTTGGCTGCCCAATGGCAAAACTAATCCAAGAATAAACTGACTGTTGGGCTGGAGAGTGTGCAGTGGATAAGGTGCTTGCTTGCCTTGCAAGCGGTCGACCCAGGTTCATCTCCAGCTCCCTATGTGGCGATCCCTAAGCTCAGAGCCAGGAGTAACCCCTGAGCATCGCCTGGTGTGTGCCAGCACCCACTCCCCCCCAAAAGATGGATGCAATAACAATGCAGGTGTCTCAAAAATTGCAAAACAGGCTGGAGCAATAGTACAGCGGGTAGGGCGTTTGCCTTGCATGCAGCCGACCTAGATTCAATTCCCAGCATCCCATATGGTCCCCGAGCACCGCCAAGAGTAATTCCTGTGTAACTCCTGTGCATCGCCGGGTGTGACCCAAAAAGCAAAAAATAATAATAATAATAATTGCAAAACAAAGCCAGAGAAAACTGCTTTGCACTCCTAGCACTTGGGTGTGTGTGGCGAAAGCCCCAAGGTGGGTGTTACTGTTGTTAGGCACAGATTTTACATGTTTTTGCAATCACACTATTACCAAATCTTTTTTATTTCCCCTCATGGCCCAGGCTAGTGTACCTTGTAAAGGAAAGCAATTCATACTCCAAGACCAAAAATACTTCCCAATGTACTTTGAACCCCTCTGACACTTTGGTTTTAAAATTTGTGTCTTGAAGGGAGCACCAAATAAAGGGTGTTGGGAGGATCCTCCCAGGATGGGAGATGCATGCTGAAAGTAGACTATAGACCAAACATGACTGCCACTCAATGCCTCTATTGCAAACCACAGCACCCAAAGGAGAGAGAGAACAAAAGGAAATGCCCTGCCACGGAGGCGGTTTGGGATGGGGGGTATAGGGGGTGGGAGGGATACTGGGATCAGTGGTGATGGAGAATGGGCACTGGTGGAGGGATGGGTACTCAATCACTGTACAACTCTCCTGCCCCGTGGATGCTGTTGTGGTCCCCCAGGGAGCAGCTGGTAGTTGCTTGGCAGGGTGTGGCATGGAGACCCACTGTCTTGGTGTGAACAGGTGGGCTAGGCGGCCACAGGCCCTTGCAGAAAGGATGGCGCTTTCCCCAACAGTAGCGCAGAGTTTCTGCTGTCTGTCTGCAGCCATGAATTCTGGACTCTGCTGGCAACTGGTTCTCCACTGATATCAACCCTTCATAGGAACCAGGGATTTCGGGGGATCTCTTCAAGGATACTCTTTGGTCCTGCATTAAAGGCATGGGCCTGGTGTTGCCCCACTCTCTGCATGCAGAGTCTTCAGTTCCCTTTCTGAAGCGAACATCTGGTTGTAATCCTCTGGCTTTCTGAGTTCTAATGTAAGCCTCAAGTTCACATTGAAAGGAGTCATAAGCCTTAGAGATTTCCATTGTGTTGACTGTAGATGAGACTCTGGAATCACCACCACATACTAGTTTACTGAGTAAGTGCCCCCAAAAGAAGGACCCCTCATTCTGAGCCTGAAAGTTTTTGGAAGTCCTGTGGGTCACAAAAAGCAGAGGTTCATTTGCCTAGAATCTCAGAGGGAAATAACACACCCTCTTGCAGGTGAAGAGCTTCCCATAGCCTGGTCTCCAGCACACCTCTGGACCAGGTGGGCAGCAGGACTAGTAGACACATTGTTGGCAGCAGCGCTCATCTCTTAGGACTGCCGTGAGCTTTGTGCACCACTCAGGTGAATGCTTGCTCCTCTCTTAAGATACAGATGGACTTGCTGTCTGCTCTACATCAATGAAGTTGGTCTCCCTTATTTAAAAAATGTTTATTAATGATGGTGCTGGAGAGAGAGTATAGTGGGCAAGGCCTTGGTGTTCAGGGCTTACTCCTGGTGAGGCTTGGGGGACCATTTGGGGTTCTGGGGATCTTAATTATCAATCACATAATCTTTGGCAGCACCCCAACTTCCGTGGGCACAGTACTGGACTGGAAAATGCAACATGAGCTGTGCAGGCCCTCTGAATATGAATTCTCTGACCTGCAGTTGTCT